GCCCGCCTTGGCCTCCCAAAGTGCTGGGATTACAGGTGTGAGCCACCGTGCCCGGCCAATGTCTACCCATTTCACACGTTTAGGAAGTTCCCACAAATGTGAAAATAAAACATAAGAGCATTGTCTCTGACTTAGTGTTGCACAGCCACCACCAGCCACCAAAACAATAATATACCAGTGAGAAGTAAGTTCTCATGTGCACATATTATACAGATGTATATTATGATAATCAAGTTCTCATGGGCACATATTATATAGATGTATATTATTATAATTAAGTTCTCATGTGCACATATTATACAGATATATACATATTATATAGATGTATGCAGTAAATGGCTCCCTACTGTACTGAACAAGAAATACTAAGTTCTTGTGCTTATAGAAGTACAAAACATTATCACACAAGAGAATATCTAGCTGACGCTCAAGTAGCCTAGTGCTAACATTTAAGCAAACTTTAAAGTAGTTACAAGGTCCCTTAAATTGCATTATTTTATAGTTACCACTATATACTTGAGCACTTGATCTCTTAAAAACTGATTATTACTCTAACAGAGAAATTAATCCAGACCCTTCATGAACATGTTCAGAGATATAAAAATGGATAAGCGACATTTACTACACTTGAGGAACTCACAGTCTAGGTGGGAAAACAAACCTAGAAACAAATAATTAAAACAACCACCACAACAACTTAGAAGTACAGTGTTAACATGATACAGTCAACGTACTGCGATGACATTTGAGAGCTCGCCCTGGGAGGGTAAGTGGAATGTGGGTAGATTTCCTGGAGAAACTGGCAACAGAGCTGACCCTTAGAGAATAATTAAGAAGTTGAACTAGAGTGACTAGAGAAGTTTTTGAGATTCTAGATCACTGGTTAAATATAATTTGAATAATTAATAAGCACCTACTCTGGACCCAATATTGTTTTAACCAGTATTAGGACAAAAATAACTGTAGGGTATAGTCCCGGCATACAGGACAACTTACAATCTATTGAGGAGGTAAGGTGTATGCCTCAAATAAAATGCTGATGGTAGACAGCAAAGTGCAGATTGCAATAGATAACGCATTCATTTGTTCATTTAACAAATATTTATTTTATATTTATTTTATAAATATGTTATATACTCTTCCAGGCACTGAAGATCTGATATTGGACAAACACACAAGGTCACTGGCCTCGTGGAGGTCACATTCTAATGGATATTAATAGGGATTAATAGATATGTAATATATGGGTTTAAAAAAATCATCATCATCAATGTGTTTTGGGTGACAGCATTCCAAATCTTAACTCTGAAGAAAAGAATACAATCTGCAAATAGAGGACATCCTTAACCAAAAAATGTCATCAATAGAAAAACAGCTAAATAGTCCAGTAAAATCTTTGTATTTCTTAAAATATTCTGGATGGCAATTCATAACCATATTTTCCATGAATAGTCATCAATTTGAGCTAGTGTAAAATATTTATAGCAAATAGACTATTGTTTTCTGTTACAAGGCATTATCCACTCAATTTATTTAAATTTTTAACCAAAAAAGACATCATTTGGCAAAAGCAAAATAGGTCTTCTAAGGATTCCCCAGATCCTAGAACATTATACACATTTAAATCTAAATGTTTTAAATGTACATCTTTGTGAACTTTTTGAGATGTGGAGACAGAAAACAGTAGTTCACAAAGCACAGGATGTGGGCTAAATGTTTCCCTGTCATAGAGAAGTAGGAAGAGATCATAAGAAAGTGACAAAGACACTGGGGCCAGTTGTATTTATTGTTACTTACCTAAGATCTGGTCACTTTCAGGTGTTTACTATGACTTGCTAATAATTCTGAAAAGAGCTATATTATAGAAGAGATCAAACCCAGAAACACACCCAGGTGTTTCACAAAATAAAACTAGGATGCATAGTTTTATTCATACCACTATAATATGATGCATATTATTCATACCACTCTTCCTGGTCTGAGAAGTCACAATAATGCTATCAACCTGCCTCATTTTAATCAACCAGTGATTATGGAAAGTTGATCTCTTTGAATTAAATCCATCACATCAAGAAAGCAGTGCCATAACAGTTCCAGTATTTATGGTGACCGACAAATCATTTGCCCCCTTGCATGACTTGCTTCTCATCCTGTTCAGTTGCAAGACCAGAAAAGTTGAGGAAGGAGGTTTCCCTTCATGGAAGGGGATGCATTAACACAATTATCATATAGCTTCATTTAGCATTGATAACACATGTATTCTGCCTCAAAATCTTTCCTGATAGCGATGCCATGAGCTGCATAATAATCACTATGCTTTGATTAATTATTTTGCCGAATAAATGGATGAATTAATTTCACTTACATACACTGATAGCCTCAGTTTCTGCAGGGTATTGCTTACATCTATGGCAACTACTTGGAATCAAAATAGAAGTAATACAAATTGCAGTACTGAGCATACCAAATAGTTACAGTAAAAAGATTCCCATTTCTATTATCAGAATCAATACATCACATGAATTTTAGAACTTGGAGTGAAGAAAACTCCTAATTAAGGGAAACTTATGAAAGCCTTTAGCAAGTTCTTTGTTGAATGCATTTATTTGGTTTCTTGATCCTCCAACCAATCACATTGACAATGACAAAAGATATGCAAATTTAAACTGACAATAGTCAAGCCACACTGCTCTGACTCATACCAATAGGGACGTTTTCAGCATATATTCAGCTTGATATTTACACTTGAAAGGGTCAATGTAACCAAAGAACATTTTAATAGTTATTCTTGGCTATAATCTGAAAGCTATCCCACAATCATTGACCAAGAACAATGCAAACAAGAATCAAATTTATTTTGCAAAATAAATTAACATATGAAACACGTGCATGATTTAAGCCCAGCAGAATTATGTGTTTACCCTGTCACTGCTGAATAATTGCATAGCAACAAGAAATATGCATTACTATGTTTGAATCACTATTTTGATTATACGTTTTAAGCAAACAAAACATTACGTTTTTGGTAGAATAGATCATTCGGGGTAACTTGGGACTAAATTTTCCTCCCCATTCCCTCAAAGAATCCAGACTAATATATGATTGGATTCTCACTAAAAACTATATGGATGGTGTACTGAAGAATAACAACAAGCTATTCAACCAAAATCATTTGTTTACAATGGAAATAAGTTTTACCAAAGAAAAATACAAACATCCTATTATAAACTACTATTGAAAGTAGTGCCTAAAATTTAAGCTACAATTGAAAAAAAACCGAGAGTTCTGTTTGCTTTTTATTCTTCTACCTACCTACTGATTGCGTATTACAGTCCTATAGTCTGTAATAGAAAGATTACAATATCAGGTTTGGAAACTGTAGAACTACTAAGTTCCAGTTAATGTGTCAAATAAAATAACAGTGATCTTAGTTCAGTCCCTAGTGGACAAAAGTAGAATAACTATTACTTGGCATGATTCAGCAGGCGATGACCTAAGCGAGTGTGATCACACAGGAACAAAATAGAGCATTTGTCCTTTCCCTATCTTTTATCTTTTTAAAGGGATTGCCTCGTTTACAGACTAACTTAAAGAAGCCTGATTGCATACCTATTTATATGTACCAAGTTAATCCATTAACGAGGGAGAGAAGCTTTTCACAAATTGGGACATTGCCTCCATTCTAGTGGCATAGTCAGTGGAATATACTTATTCTCGGCTGCCTATTATTAAACAGAGTGCAAAGACAGAATGAATTGCAGAAGTGTGTTCATAATTTAATAGGCATATCTTCAACAAAAACTTTTAAATGGTTTGTAGATAAATAACTGGATAAACTATTTGATTTGATTTCTATAAATTGAGTTTACATTCATACTCGACATTAACATTCATCAAATAACATGGATACGTAAACTCGCCAGGTACTGTCTCTGTAACTACAATGCCCTGAGAAGGGAGGTGTTTCAGGAATATAGTAGAGACTACATGTTGCGTTCAGCCCAAATCTGCAGGTGCATGTCTTCCTCAACAGCCAGCGTGTTCTCATTGTGAGCAAGCAAGCCCTTTCTGACAGTTCACATTACAACGTATCTTTTTAAATTTTTTTTTCTCAAGGACAGAAGAAAAAATATTTAACAGAAATCAGTCCTCTACTATTCTACCACTTGCTGAAATTAACGGTTCCCTTTACATAAATATACAATTTCTCCAACCAAATATCATATTTTACATTTACTCTCACTTCATGTTAATTTTTCTAAAGGTTAAAAAAAAAAAACAAATACTTTGTGATGATTTGCCACCCCAGTGGCACAAAATTTTCTGGTGCAAAATCGATTTGATCTTATTAATTAGTATAGTCATTACGATTATTTATTTTTCACCAACTTGCTTAAGAGGTACATGCTTTCTTTCTTAAGGTAGAGTTTTGACAGAAAGACTCTTAATGCTGAACTTTAAACAAGAGAAACCAGAAATGTCATAAAATTTACCAGGGCTAGACACACACGGGGTGCCCCCACACATTCATAGGATTGCGCAAGCCCCCAAACCTTGGCTTACCCAGGAAGCCAAACCCAGACAGCCGTCTTGCAATTGCAAACACTGCCCCCCTGGAGCAAAAGGTAAACACACAAATGCGCCCCTAAGGAACTTTAAGTTAGCTGCAGTGCAAGAACGGAAAAAGCTCCGTGCTATTAGAAACTGAAAGCAATCACTTACTTTTTGCAGCCACTGAGTATAATTTTCCATCACATGTTCCAGATGTTGAAGTTTCTGGGAAGAGAAATCCGGTTCCACGTGTGGAGCATCTCTCTGCAGAGCGTTTGTGTTGTACTGGTCTGTCGTACTCTCACGACAGTTCCCATCGTGTTCTGGAAGAATGAAAGTATAGGCACATTGCCCATGTTGAATCCGGTTATATCTTCTCCCACTGTTTTCTGGACTTCGGCGCTGGTTGCTGCACCCTGTGTGAGTCAGAATGGCAGCGAGGAAAGCAAAGGAAAGGAAAACTGTCATTGTACTGCCAGCACTCTCCTTCCGTGCCTCTCGCAAAACTTGCTCCTTTCTTCTGACCTCTAAACTAGTTATTTCAGGTAAATCTGCTTGTTTGTTTGACTCTCTCCCCCTCAAAGAAAGCGTTTGAAGAAGAATGATAGAAAACTAGCCATTTGTTAGCTTTGTTCTAAAATGTTAAAATTTTTTATTTCACTGTAATGATATTTTCCTTCGTTAAAACTTGAGATATTTATTGCATAGTAGCTGAGATTTATTGTTTCCTCTCTGTGTGACCGTTCAGCGTGGAGCCTGCCTGAGTCAGCTGCGTGTACATATTCTAGACTCTTTCCTCTACCCTATCTGCTTCAGATCTGCTATTTTCTTCCAGACCTCAGTGAGTTTTATTAAGGTTGCACATCCAAGCCAAGCTGGAAGCAGGCAGCCTTTCACAAGATGACTTGACAGGAATGCGTGAGTGTGCCCCTATGCTAAGGATTGCTGATGGCTTAGGGCGGCAGGATCGTCTTACAAATTGGCTAGATGCGCATGACCTCGATCATGTATGGCCCTCCCGCCCCCTTCCGCAGACAATTGCCTTGAGCCTTTAACAGATTCAAGGCAAATCAATAAATAGAGCAGTCCACCTTAATACACTTTTGGTGTGCATGCTGACCTACTAAAATACAGCCAACTAGCAGTATGTTTTTAAAGTTACTATTTAGTCGAGGGACCCTAAGAAGAAAATTGGCATGATGTCCAATGAAATTATTTTTGATAGAGAATGATAAACCCGTATCATTATTAAATGTCTTTTAAAAACATGTATTCTTGACTCTGAGGAAAAATATGTAAAATAACAATTTTTACAGGGGGTATTCTTTCATCGTATTCACTTAGACTTTTAGGAGTTGAAGAAAATAATCAGAGAGGATCAAAGTAGCAAGAAAATTAGCATCATTTGTTGCTCAAAGCAATATGTTGCACAAAGCAATATAGTATATGCATATTAAAGAGGATTATCTAAGTACCTTTTGGTATAGGGGTCTTAAATGAAACTGGTGTCCTGATCAGAATGCAACCCTTCGTGTTCCGTGTATATAAACTGAGCAACTTCCCTACAAAAACAATGTGGCTACAATTTAAAGCAGTGGCTTGAGAATTATTAATTCCTGTGGTATATCCTAATCCTATATTTTACAAGGATCTCTTTGGTGGCTACGGCTGTCTTTAACACTGGTATGGAAGTTTACATAAAAACCTCCTGTGGCTGCACAGACACACCATGTAAGAACAAGCGTATATCAGGTGTGCTAACAGCCAGCAATGGGCTGCACAGGAGACATCTCTGTGCTTCTGTGAAGGAAGAAAGAAAAATTATCAGAAGATGATTTCCCAAAGGCAGCGTATAAACCTTTGAACAAAGGGACCCGTAAATATAAAGAGGCGATAATTTTAGAATTCAGGGAATGGCTCTGAGATGTTTACTAGATGCAGAAAACATGAACTATGAGTTGGGATTTTCATTAGGAACTGGGAGGGCTTTTAGGCAACTGCAGTCATAGTGGAAAAACAGAAGCCACAGCTGTCATCTCCATGTCCTGGAAGGAGAACAGGGCAGTGGGTGAAGGTTGGTAGTGGTTAGAGATGGGCATTTAGGGAGAAGTTAGAGGAGAGGTCAAAACAAATTCCAGAACTAATGCGATTTATTTGGGGAGAGAAACCTTGCTGAGATTCATCAGTCCTTTCCACACTAAATAACAAATTTCTGATTGGACAGATATGGAAGCAAGTTATGCCAAACACGGCAATAAAATATTTGAACCACTTTTGCAGCCTCTTGAATTTTTGCGTGTCTCCTCATTGAGTCATGCATCACTCCTGTGCAACAATAATAATGGCATGCATTAAGACCTTACTGTTTTCCAGGCGAAGCACTCCTTATGCACTATCTCATTTAATCATTCCAACAAACCTAAGATCATGGATATTATGTTTAATCCCAATTGATCAATGGGAAAACTGAGTCACAGAAAGGCTAACAGGATGTAATTCACAGAGCTGGCAAGTGATGGCGCCAGTATGTGAACTCAGGCAAACTGACTCAGCCTGTTTCAAACCACCAGGCCAGCCTGCTTTTGGAAATCTCTGCAAGGAATGAAAGCAATTTCAAAAGCGCTCCAGCTGCATTGATTTACAGTCCTAAAGCGGGAGAAGTGACGTACCTAGAAGAAAAAGGACTGTAAAAACCAGAGTATCTCTCCAAAGTGATTAAGGTGTTTTCTAGTGTGCACGTGCGCGTGTGCACACACACACACAGACAGGTAACCTATGCACAGCCACAAAGATGAAGTGCACTGGCAAAATGTAGGTTGTCTAAGAACACTTTCCAATAATGCTTGATTTGAAAATTATCCATGGAAAGAAGTGAGTCCAAACCTGAGACCTAGAAATGTTTTGTGAAGAACTAAATACAGTAGAAAATTGGCAGAAGACTAACGGATGAGTGGTGAGGTTTCCATTAAATTGCTCCAGTGTTTTTAAACAGCTGAGACTGTTAAAAATCTGTTCCTCCACGTGTGTGTCTCTGTGCGTCTATGTGTCCATATCCATGTGAATTTTCGCAATTAGAATAAATGAAAAGCAGGAATGCACAATTTCCTGAGGGAAAAGTAGACAACTAAGAAAGGGAAGCCTGAAATGCAAACAAAAAAGGAGGGGTCAGGGGACAAAGAGACAGAGAAAAATGTAGAGACTGATTTATTTCTTTTCCAGAAAAACAAAATCAACCACAAACCATTCTGGTATTATTCTGAAAAAAATGTCTGAAGATGAATTTTAAGCAATGAGAAAACCCAAGGATGTACAGAATTGACTCCTGTGTTTTTGGAACTCCAGTTAAGGAGAAGGCACATTTAAGGATACTGACACACTGAAGATAATATGTTTTGGGGATCATGCATCTAGGCAACAGCAACACTGTTGTTTGTTGTTGATTATTCAGAAATGGGGCACAATTCAGGGTGCATTAAAATTTAGAGAGTAGGGCCGGATGCAATGGCTCATGCCTGTAATTCCAACACTGCGAGGCCGAAGTGGGAGGATCGTTGGAGCCTAGGATTTTGAGTACAGCCTGGGCAGCATAGGGTGACCCTCCCTGTCTCTACCCAAAATAAAATAAAATAAAAATTAGTCAGGTATGGTGGCATGGCCAGGACCTGTGGTCCCAGCTACTCAGGAAGCTGAGGTGGGAGAATCGCTTGAGCCCAGAAGGTTGAGGCTGCAGTGAGCCATGATTGCCACTGCACTCCAGCCTGGATGACAGAGTGAGACCCTTTTTAAATAATAATAATAATAATAGGCAAATAATAAGAATAAGCCAATTAAAATTCATCTACTAAACTTCCATGAAGGGTAAAATATTTCTAAGAACTAAAAAATTATATTCAATTGAATTCTGTGGTAGCTTGAACCCAAAACTTTGTGTTTTATTAGAACTCTGGAATAAGGAAGTGTAGGCTTTAAGGTTTTGATCTCATATCTACAAAGAGTCCTAGTAAATGTCCCACTCATCCTGAAATTTCCAAAGGGACCGAGAGCCATTTATACCAGAACTTCATGTGCCTAAATCTGTCCTAGGAACCAGTTTTTGATAATTCTTTGGTAAAGCTTTCTTAATTTCTCCAGGTCCAATAAATGGTTCTCTGTGTTAAATTTCAATAACCTTCTCTTCATGTCTCCAAAACTGCACTGCTCACGTTGTTTGCTAATTGTTGCCTTTTTTTTTAATCTGTCTCTTCCTTTTGCTGTGAGCTGCTAAAGTGATCTTCTCTTTGTCATCACTGATTCCTCAACATTCACTCTGCACTTTGTTTGAGGGAATGAAAGAATAAGCAAATAAATGAATGAACTGATTAATGACTCAATTGGTGCAACTTCCTAACTCTCTATCTGGTTACTACATGACTGGCCACATTCATTGCATTTGTTGGGTGAGTTTGCCTAGAATCTCTAGGCATAAAGAACTGGATAAAGCCAAACTTATTCTAAAGAATTCGTTAGACATAAGAGCAAAGTGCAATAATAATTCATAGTATTATTTAACCCTTAACAAATAATTTTCTCATCTAATGTTTACAGAACCCCCATAATTATGTAATATTATATACTATTGTTCCCATTTTGCTGATGAGAAATGTGGTGCCATAGAGGTTAATTGCCCAGGACCTATGATATCTTAGGAGGCAGAACAGGAATTTGACCCTCAATCCATCTAACTCTGAGGCTCACATTCATTTCCCACTGAGCTATATTGTTTATGACAATACTTCAATATTGAGAAAATATTTCTTAGAATTTAGGGGACAGGAACAACATGGTGACTCCCCCATTTCAGAGGTCCCTTTCCTCTGAAACCCAGGGCTTTCACAGATTCATGTTATGATCTTCCAAAACAGGGATAATATTAAACCAGGATGCACCAGTATGATTAGATGTGCTTACCAACAGCCAATCTGATTAATTGGGTTATACTTTAGAAATACTCTACATGGTTGGTCCTATGCCGTGTCATCTGTTAGATATCTTGATCATCACTCAAAGTCTACAGTAAAATCAAAATATATGAAAAAAAATAGTATTTATTTCTCAAAAATACCACCAAGCAATGAGATTCAAGGAAACACTCCTCTGGTCTTTATACAACCACTTATAAGGGAAAAGGGGGTGGGAAAGTATTCTCCTACTTTGTGTTCTGAACACAATGTGGTTCAGCACAGCAAGGGTCCCATATTCTATGGGTCTGCTCAGGCACTTTTAGGGATCAAGACTATCATCAGGGCTATAGAAGTGGCAGCTCTATCTAAAAGGAGGGAAGGCTCTTGGCTGTAGTTCCTGGAAGCAGAGCCAAGACTCCTTCACTCAACTATGTAGGCAGCAAAGGTATCCACAACAGATGGAAATATCCCAGTGGACAAAACCAAAAACAGAAGAAGATGGAGGATATCACCTGGTAACTGAGGGCACTTCATGAGTACATGCAAAATATCCATTTAGAACTCCCATACTAACCGGGAGGATGTTACAAAAAGCTGGAAACACTGCAGCAAGTGGGATGAAGACAGGAGGCATATAGATAAGTGAGGAAAATAAAAACGATTATGTAAATATTCCTCTGCCTTTTGATGAGAGAAATTTCTGGTAATTGTTAGGTGTCTTGTTTGTTAAGTAGGTTTAATTTTATTTTATTTTTGAGACAGGGTCTCACTCTGTCACCCAGGCTGGAGTGTAGTGGCATGATCTCAGTTCACTGTAGCCTCTGCCTCCAAGGCTCAAGTGATCCTTCTACCTCAGCCTCCCTAGTAGCTGGGACTACAGCCATGCACCACCATGCCTGGCTAATTTTTGTTTTTGTGAGATGGAGTTTCACCATGTTCCCCAGGCTGGTCTCAAATTCCTGGAATCAAGCAAACTACCAGCCTCAGTCTCCCCAAGTGCTGGGGTTATAGGCATGGTAAGTTGGTTTCAAACTATAGACATGCAAGTTGGAAACCGCTGGAACTGAATTAATTTGCTCTACCTAGGAAAGGAGGGAAGGGATTAAGAGACTCAGGGAAAGATCTAGAAGTGGGGGACTGGAGCTAGAGAGGTTTAGAGGTTCTGTGTCAGGTAGAGCTGCTAAAAGAGAGAGAAGGCCTGCGGCTGTGTAACCATGAGAGACTTGGGAATATATATCAGGAGATTTGGAGTGAAATAATGTTTCCAGTGAGATCAAACTCATCTGTTTCAGTAAAATATACACTTTGGGGCAAATGACTTCTTAAGGGTGAATAGGAGGAATTGAAGCATTGGTCTTTGCTTCAAACATGGGAACAGTTAACATATGTATTACATAGACTATTAATATGAATGCAATTGAAGTCATTTGTCGCAGGTTTGCTTTTCACTCTAGATCAGAGTCCCGAGGGCTAGAACTGTGTCTGTCTTATTGATCTGTCTGTCCGCTTTTCCTGGCACAGAGGAGGAACTTTATAAATATCCAGCTGACTGACTGATTCATTCACCTTAAATCTCAATGATGAGACGTGATGACACAGAGCCAGTCCCTTACAAGTTTTCAGGTGCTAGACTTGCATAGACCCTAGAGATCTCACTTTGTGGTGAGTCACAGAAGGCACCCAGAGTCCATAGATTGCAAAAGTCAATCCCAGTAATGGTAGTGGAATAATACCTAACACTTCCAGCCACCTATGAACGTTGCCAAGGTTGAAAAACCATTCAAGAAACATCTCAGAAATACTTTTCAATGTGAGATTAGTTGTTAAATCTACAATGAAGGTAACTTCTAAATATACACAAGCCAGAAAAGAAAACAAAGAGCTGAGGACTGTATGAAGCAGAAATATAGATGCCAACATTTCCCTCATACCAGAGTGAAGGACTTCCATTGGAGACCCCATGAGATTTTATTAGAAAAAACATATAAACTACTTTGCATTTACTAACTGCCTCCTTCTTTCTTCACTTTTTCCCTACAGAAGTCTTGATTCCTAGATGAGAGAAGAATGCAAAGGCCTCTCTGTCTCAACTTTTCCAACTCCAGAAAGCACATGTATTTCACATGTTCTAAGAAACTCTCAAAAAGAACAAGTAATTTCAAGAAATGCCTGGAATTACCATTTGATGGGTTATGGTACCCAATGGGACTTGGATAGTTCTTATAGCTGGTTCTTGTAGCCAAAGTACCCTCCACTGAGAGTAACTCAGTGATGTAGGACTTTCCGTTCAGAGGAAAATCTATGTTGTGGTCACAGAGTTGTGACAACCTCCACTCATAAGTTAGAAAAAGAATCATTCACAAGCATTGTAAACTCAGATTTTAAAAAAAAATACTAGGGAAATAAGATCCTTAATGTTTTCTAAAATTGCTTGTTTTTCCTCTCTTAGTCTTATTTTTATACTCTCTTAATCTAATCTTACTTCTGATGTAATACTGTCTTATCTCTCTTTCCTCCTGCCAGATTGGATGAACTGTTTCATAGTGGTTAAGGTGGGAGGATACTGACTGCTTTGTTTTTGTTTTGTTTTTTTTAAATTTCTTGTCTATGCTAGTCTATGTTAGATGATTTTAGACAAGACATTTAATTATTCTAAGCTCAGCTTCCTTATCTGTAAAATGAAGACAGTAATAACGGTACCAATTTTATAAGAACGTTGTGAAGATTAAATAAGGTAGTGGATATAAAGTACTGAGCACAGTGTCCAGACCATATCCAAGTACTCTCAATGCTAGTTCTTGTTTCTAAATGTGAGTTCTTTTTTTGTGCTAAAAAATTATGCTACTTTTTGCCTTGTTTAGTTGAATTGTATAAGTACATTTACCTAATTTCATTCCCTATCATTTTGCCCTCCTAAATGTTTAAAATTATTTCTGAACATCTTTAAAAAATCACAAATTTAAGAAGCACATTTTAAAATGAGAGGATGCCCAAGTTCACAATGATATTCATGTAAATAGCTCTGGTTTCTTGAGGGCAATATTGTTCTTTACTGCTGCATCCCCCTAGCACCTGAAACAGTGAATGCCTGTCACATAATTGGTGCTGGAAAGGTATTTGTTGAATGAATAAAATGAGTTGGGGACAATTTAGTAACAATGTACTACTCTGGCTACTGAAACCAGAGAAACATCAAGTAGGGCAAACAGACATGTAAAGCAATCACATTTGATAGTGAAAATTTTATGCCCTGGGAACTATGGGAGCAATGTGGATACCGTTTATGGCTTCATCACCATGACTTGTTATCCAACTCATTTCCGGCCAATTCAACCGGATGACCTTATTTTCAAGAACTTCTTTTATGGCTAGACTTGTGGCATATATCATTCCATTCTGTTTCCTCAGAGATAATGTGTTTGCCTCTGATACACCAAAAATGAACTGGAACACTCTATTATTAATCTTATATGAAAAACACAGTTTGGTATGAACTGTGCATAAGGAAAAGATCTTATTTTGTTTATATATATATATATATATTTTTTTTTTTTCCAAAGCCAATTTCACTCCCTCTCAGGCTCTAATCAGATTAGAAATTTGGTAATTAAATTAGAAAATAAATTCTAGTGGTACATAAAACACTTAAAAACATGATTGCTTAAACCTGGTTCTTAGTTGATAACTGACCCATAAAGACTAGTCCTTTAATGTTAACCATAAACAAAGAACCTATTTGGTCTCTGAAAAGTTTATACTTTCTTTTCCATTGATTACATGTCTTTGTTCTTTCCTCTTGATCTTTCTCTTCTAAATAGCACAAATCTTTAAAGGGAGGATTGTGACAATTAAAGAAAGGCTAGAATAGAAGAATAGAAGACAACCATGACTCAAACATGGGAAAGGATTGTCATAGCCACATTGTTCTTCATAGCTAAATTTTCCTGCCACTTGTGATATGTACAAATGGATCACTTTTAGCGCCAGAAGCACTGAACAGGCTGAATATTTTGCAAAATGTTTCCCAAATTTTTGTTATGTTTATGCCACCTTGGTGGTATTTGCCATGCCCTGTGTACTATTATGTACCTACATAGTTTCCTTAACTCTGTTTTAAACTGTCTACGTATCTTAGATTTAACCTAAACAATAGTATTGGGAAAAACAAGCACTCGTTTTTATATATTTTATTTTATATTAAAATAAGTACACAATATGAAAATGAGTATCTGTCCATGTGCTACCCCTCAAATATTTCATTTCCCAGGGGAACATGTACCATACTTTAGGAAATATTACTTAGTGCTATCAAGAGTAGAGACATCCTCTCCTGCAAGATGAATAAAACGATGCCTCCTGTTAATATATCCATGGAAAAAAACTGTTGTAGTTACAGTTCCTCAAGATTTGTTTGCCTCATGTTCAGAATGCTTGGTGATTGTTTCCATTCTGTAGTCTAATCAGAAATACAAAGGATGCTTTTGCATCAGAAGCTTCTGCATTTATGCTGCCAGTGAGCACATGAAGAACTTCCCTCGGTCCCACCCAGGGAAGTCATGGCTGGGATTTGCAATAGCCCTATTTACAGTGCTGTCCACTAACAGAAATGCCCAACTGAAGGCCTAAGCTTGCAACTAATGATTGACCAGGAATTTCAATAGCTCTTTTATTGATTCTGGCATTGGAAAGAATAACGTAGTTATTTAGTATCTGAAGAGTAAATCTTCACTCCCTTTTAGTCTTGCGTTTGGAAGAGTGTTGGGGAAATAGTAAGCACATTTCCTCTCAAGAGTTGCATTCCCCTTGGAGAATTTACATTCCTTCCTGACATCCTTCAAAAAGCCATAAAAACATATCAGTTCAAAGAGGGAAAGGAGAGTTAATATTTAAAGGAGCTGCTAGGAATCTATTACTCTCAGTTTAATAACAGCTACCATTTCTGGAGTGTCTGTGATATACCCAGGGCTATGCTAATTAATGTGCTTGCATTATCTCATCTATAACAATGGTCACAACAACAAAATATAGGACCTTTTATTACCATCATTTCACAGAGGAAGAAACAAACTTAGAGAAGCTGCAGGAAGGACTCAAAGCCAGTGTTTTCTGAACCCAGACCTGAAGTTTTTAACCGTTACATATACATAAACCCTCAGTCTTTTTAAAGCATCTGCTCATTTAAATCCCAAATTAATTATCTTCGTGATTTTAGTGTACATTTCCTTATTTGCTAATCTAATAAGAAGCATAGAACTTGATAGCCAATTAGACTAAAGAAGTCATAAGAATTAAAAAAGGAAGTTATCCCCCAAAAAGTTAATAATTACAGTACACTTACTGTATGTCAAGTGCTTTACGTACATTATCAAATTTAACCCTTAATACAATCATATCATACGAATTTTACAGATGAAGAGACTGAAGCATTCGAAATGGACTTGCCTAAGATTATATAGAAGGGACATTTTAACCAGGCCATTTGACTCAAGGGCCCAAACATCTTAATTAACGTGCTAAGGAAAGCGCTCTAAAATTTGTGACAAAAAAAACCATGTTTACGGTACTTACATGTAGGACTGTAACCAGCTGTATCCTCATCTTCACTGGGTGCAAAGGACAAGATTCAGAGTTCTCAGCCTATCATCCTGGGTAGGCAGCTTAGTATCACCTGGGATCTTGTTTGTAATGCAAAATCTGGGCCCCACCCAGATCTCCTGAATCAGAAACCTGAGTTTGGGTCTTAGCTCCTTTTGACAGGCCTTGCAGGAAATTCTGACGCAGGCTCAAGTTAGAGAATTACTGGTTTAATTCTTTACTCCCTAACCCTAGCAGCACCTTAGGATCAGTTGGGAGTTCTGTATAAAAGTTGCCTGGGCTTGCCTCCAGAGATTCTAATTCAGTTGATCTGAGATGTAGCCTAAATGCTGGTAGTTGTAAAAATGGATCAGGTGCTTCTAATGTGTTGCCATGGTTGAGAACCAATGGCTTAATTGAAAGAGCTAACCAAGAAGAAGTGCTGTAAAAAGAGCTGAATTGGTTTAGTACCAAGAAATAAGGAGTAAACTTACTTGGATATGCCTGATATTTTTCCAGAAAGTTCTTTACTTCTAGGATTATAAAACAATTCCCTTAGTGCCTTTAAAGTTTCGTATATTTAATTTCTGGAGCATTTAAGGACACCAAGATTACTGCATATTAAATAAACCAGACTCAAGAAACCTAATAAACTGGACCTCCATAGCTCACATTGCTTTGTTGTTCTTGAAGAAATTTATCTACTAAATTTATATTTGTAAAGCCTTAAAGAATAAAATACTTGTGTCTTGATCACACGTGAGCACAATGTTGACTTTCACGTAATAGTTAACAATTGCTGTTACAACATTTTGTCTCTGTTCTCATGAAGTGTTTTGATTCGTTTCTTCCAAAATAAGCAGTCAGTGCCTGTGTTCTTAACCCCTAATACTCTATGATCTGCAGTACACCTGGGGAAAACAACAGTAACAAGTCGTAGCTCTTCTCATATGACTCACAGAGGCTTTGGAGGTACTGATTGTAACCTTTGATTATATCACATACATGGATTCTATATCTTTCACAAAGAAACCATGAAGTTTTAAAACAATTATTTTCTTATATCAAATTGGCCCCACATGTTTATAGCAACACTAGTTACAGTAGCCCAAACATGGAAACAACCCACATGTCCATTAACAGATGAACGGATAAACAAAATATGTTAATCAATACAAATGGAATATTATTCAGCCACAAAAAAGAATGAAGTACTGATACATGCTACAACATGGATGAACCTTGAAAACATTACGCTAATAAGTAAAAGAAGCCAGGCAGAAAAGGTCTTATGTGATTCCATTTACATGAAATATCTAGAATAGGTAAATCCATAGGGACAGAAAGAAGATTAGTGGTTGCCAGAGGCTGTGGGTAGGAAGGAATGCAAAGTGACTGCTTATGAGTACAAGGTGTCCTTTTGGTCTGATGAAAATGTTTTGTAACTAGAGAGAGATAATGGTTACATAATATTGTGAAGGTTCTAAATGCCACTGAGTTTTGGCTTTAAAATGGTTAACTGTAATGTGTGATTTCACCTCCATAAAAAAAAATTTAAATAATTGGCACGACATCTCTACACACTTGGCATCTGTGTTTTCGTTAGATTACTATGGTATCTATTTAAATATCCATTTCTTAAAAACTTTTATTTTGAAATAGAAAGCTGCAAAGGTAAGTATAGGGAGGATTCATGTACCCTTCACCCAATTTCCCCCACTGGTTACACCTTACATAACTATAGTATAGCATCACAATCAGGACTCGGACATTAATACACTATGAATGTATTGTTTTATGTCATTTTATAGAACATAGATTTGTGTACCACCGCCATCCAAGATACAGAAATATCCCACCATCACAACAAAGATCTCTCTCTGAGTATTCTTTTATAGTTATAACCAATCTCTCCTTGACACCATTCCTAACTCCTGGCAGCCACTAATCTGGTTTTCGTTTCTATAATTTTGCCATTTCAAGAATGTTATATAAATGGAATTATGTAATCTCTTGGAATTGAAGTTTTTTTTTTTAATCTATCATACTGTCCTTGAGATCTGTCCAAGTTGTATGTATCAGCAGTTCATTCCCTTATTGCTAAGTAATAATCCATGGCATGTATGCACCACAGTTTGTTTAACCATCACCTACCAAGGCACGGTTTGTTGTTTCTACCTTGGGGCTATTACAAATGAAGCAGCAATGAATGAGCAGTTGTGAACAGATTTTTGTGCAGGCATAAATTTTCATATCACTGCAATAAATGCCCAAGAATGTGACTGCTGGATTGTATGGTAAATGTATATTTAGAGTTTTTTTTCTGTTTTGTTTTTTTTGTTGTTGTTAGAAATGAGGGTCTTGGTATGTTGCTCAGGCTGGCTAGGAATAGCCAGGATTAAGCAGTCCTCCCACCTGAGCCTCCCCTAAGTAGATGGGACTATAGGCGCATGCCTCTATGCCTTGCTTAGTTTTTAAGAAATTGCCAAGCTGTTTTCAAGAGTGACCATACCATTTTTACATTCCCACCAGCAGTGTACGAGAGATCAACTTTCTCCGTATCTTTACCAGCATTTGATATTGTTACTTTTTTTTTTTTTTTTTTTTTTTTTTTTTTTAGTTTTTCTAATAGTTGCATAGTAATATCTCATCATGGTCTTAATTTGCATTTCCCTAATGACTAGTGATTTTAAACACTTTCTCATATGCTTATTGGCCATGGTATCCTCTCATCAATAAAATCTCTCAAGTTTTTTCCACTTTTTTAATCAGATTATTTGTGGGTTTTGAGAGTTCTTTATTGATATGGTTTGACTATGTTCCTACCCAAATCTCATCTTGAATGGTAGCTCCCATAATTCCCACATGCTGTGGGAGGAACCATGTGGGAGGTAATTGTATCATCAGGGCAGGTCTTTCCCATGCTGTTCTTGTGATGGTGAATAAGTCTCATGATATCTGATGGTTTTATAAAGGGGAGCTCCCCTGCACATGCTCTCTTTGCCTGCCATCATGTAAGACATGACTTTGCTCCTCCTTTGCCTTCTGCCATGATTGTGAGGTCTCCCCAGCCATGTGGAACTGTGAGTCTATTAAACCTCTTTCCTTTATAAATTACCCAGTCTCGGATATGTCTTTATTAGCAGCTTGAGAATGGACTAATACAGTAAATGGGTACCAGTAGTGGGGTGCTGCTATAAAGATATACAAAAATGTGGAAGTAACTTTGGAACTGGGTAACAGGCAGAGGTTGGAAGAGTTTGGAGGGCTCAGAAGAAAGATAGGAAAATGTGAGAAAGTTTGGAACTTCTTAGAGACTTGTCAAATGACTTTGACCAAAACGCTGATACTACTATAGACAATGAAATTCAGGCTGAGGTGGTCTCAGATGGAGATGAGGAACTTGTTGGGAACTGGAATAAAGGTGACTCTTGCTATATTTTAATAAAGAGACTGGTGGCATTTTGCCCCTGCCCTAGAGATAGGTGGAGCTTTGAACTTGGGAGAGATGATGTAGGATATCAAGTGGAAGAAATTTCTAAGTAGCAAAGCATTCAAGAGGTGACAGAGCATAAAAGTTTGCAAAATTAGCAGCCTGACAATGCAGTAGGGAAGAAAAACCCATTTTCTGGGGAGAAATTCATTCTGGCTGCAGAAATTTGCATAAGTAAGGAGTCAAATGCTAAATACCAAGACATGGGTGGGGGTTGAGGGGGGTACATCTCCAGGCATGTAAGAGACCTTCATGGCAGCCCATCCCACCACAGGCCTGGAATCCTCCAAAGGAAAAATGGTTTAATGGGCCAGGTCTAGGGCCTCTCTGCTCTATGCAGCCTCCAAACATGGTGCCTTGCATCCCAGCTGTTTCAAGTCCAACCATGGCTAAAAGGGGCAAATGTACAGCTCAGGCTGTTGCTTCAGAGGGTGCAAGCCCCAACTCTTGGTGGTTTACATGAGGTGTTGGGTCTCTGAGTGCACAGAAGTCAAGAACTGAGGTTTGAGAACCTCTGCCTAGATTTCAGAAGATGTATGGAAATGCCTGGATGTACAGGCAGAAATTTGCTGCAGGGGCAGAGCCCTCATGGAGAACCTCTGCCAGGGCAGTGTGGAAGGGAAATATGGGAGTAGAGCCCCCACAAAAAGTCCCCAATGGGGCACTGCCTAGTGGAGCTGTGAGAAGGCCACCATCCTCCAGACCCTAGAATGGTAAATCCACCAATAGCTTGCACTGTGAGCCTGGAAAAGCCGCACACACTCAATGCCAGCCCATGAAAGCAGCCAGGAGGGGAGCTGTACCCTGCAAAGTGAGAGTGGTGAAGCTGCCCAAGGCCATGGACTCCCACCTCTGGCATCAGCATGTCCCGGATGTGGGACATGGAATCAAAGGAGATCATTTTGGAACTTTAAAGTTTAATGACTGCCCTGTTGGATATAGGACTTGCATAGAGCTTGTCGCCCCTTTGTTTGGGCCAATTTCTCCCATTTGGGACAGGTATATTTACCCAATACCTGTAGCTCCATTGTATCTGGAAAGTAACTAACTCGCTTCTGATTTTACAGGCTCCTAGGCAGAAGGAACTTGCCTTGTCTCAGACAAGAGTTTTGACTACGGACTTTTGAGTTAATGCTGCAATGAGTTAAGATTTTGGGGGATTGTTGGGAAGGCATGATTGGTTTGGAAAAGTGAGGACATCAGATTTGGGGAAGGCAGGGGCAGAATGATATGGTTTGATTGTGTCCCCTCCCAAATCTCATCTTGAATTGTAGCTCCCATAATTCCCATGTGTCTTGAGAGGGACCCAATGGGTGATAATTGCATCATGAGGGCAGGTCTTTCCCATGCTGTTCTCATGACAGTGAGTAAGTCTCACAAGATCTGACAGCTTTATAAAGGGGAGTTCCCCTGCACATGCTCTCTTTGCCTGTCACCAGACATGACTTTCTTCTCCTTTGCCTTCTGCCAAGATTGTGAAGCCTCTCCAGGCATGTGGAACAGTGAGTCCATTAAATCTCTCTCTTTTTTTTTTTTGTTTTTTTTTTGTTTGTTTGTTTTTGAGACGGAGTCTCACTGCGTCACCCAGGCTGGAGTGCAGTGGTGCAGTCTCGGCTCACTGCAAGTTCCGCCTCCTGGGTTCACACCATTCCCCTGCCTCAGTCTTCCAAGTAGCTGGAACTACAGGGACCCGCCACCACGTCTGGCTAATTTTTTGTATTTTTAGTAGAGACAGGGTTTCACCGTGTTAGCCAGGATGGTCTCGATCTCCTGACCTCACAATCCGCCCACCTCGCCCTCCCAAAGTGCTGGGATTATAGGCATGAGGCACTACGCTCGGCCAATCTCTTTCTTTATAAATTCCCAGTCTCAGGTATGTCTTTATTCACAGCATGAGAATGGACTAATACATTTATATATTCTATGTATGACTTTTTTTTGGTCAGATATATTGTTTACAAATATTTTCATCTGTCTGTAGTTTGTCTTTTTATTTTCTTAGTTACTTAATTATTAATTTATTTTTTTAGTTATTACCCAGATAACTAAACTGAAAGTACACAAAAAGCAAACTACAAAGAAATATCCTTCATTATTATAGAAGCAAAAATTTTAAACAAAATATTAAGTAGAATTCAAAAACATATAAAAATAATTATAGGAGCAAGTTGGTTTATCTTAAGGATACAAGACTCATTTAATATCTGAAAATCAACCTAGTTGATTTTGGCCTAACTAACCTAGTTAGGTTTTGGCCTAACTAAA